TATGCAAATTCAAACTGAAGCTGAAGAAAATGAAAACAAGAGCCAAAATATGACCTTAAATATATCCCACCTGAATTTAGAGATCATCTGAAGAACATATTTGATACATTAAACACTAAAGACCAAAGACCAGAAGACGTATGGGATGATATCAAGAACATCATACATGAAGAAAGCAAAAAGTCATTAAGAACACAAGAAAGAAGGAAAAGGTCAAAAGGGATATCAAAAGAGACACTGAAACTTGCTCTCCAGCATAGAGATGCTGAAGCAAATGGAAGAACTGAGGAGGTCCAAGAGCTGAACAGAAATTTTCAGATTAGCTCGAGAAGATAAAGCCAAATATTACAAAAAATGTGTAAAGATCTGGCATCAGAAAACCAAAAATGAAGAACACACTCAGCATTTCTCAAGCTGAGCAAACTGAGCAAAAAATTCAAGCCTTGACCTTCGTTATTGAAATAACGAAATAACAAATTTCCCAGAGATTCTGGGGAAATTATTGAATGGTGCAGAAAGCATCAAGCATCAAGCATCAAGAGAAGATGGGAAAAGATGGAAACTCAACACAGAGTCACTGTACCAAAATGAAATGGTTAATGTTCAACCGTTTCAAGAGGTAGTACATGATCAAGAGACAATAATACTGAAGGAGGAAGTCCAAGGTGCACTGAAGGAATTGGCAAAGAACAAGGCACCAGTAACTGATGGAATACAAATTGAAATCTTTCAAGAAAGTGAGGCGGCACAGGAGGCACTCACTCATCTCTGCCAAGAAATTTGGAAGGCAATTATCTTGCCGACTGTTTGGAAGAGATCCATATTTGTGCCCATTCCAAAGAGAGGTGACCCAACTGAATGTGGAAATCATTGGACAATCTCTTTGATATCCCATACGAGTAAAGTTTTGCTAATGGTAATAAAGAAACGACTACAATCATGCATTGACAGAGAACTTCCAGAGGTTCAAGCTGGATTCAGAAGAGGCCATGGAATGAGGGATATCATTGTTGATGTCCGATGGATCTTGGCTGAAAACAGAGAATACCAGAAAGATGTTTACCTGTGCTTTATTGACTATGCAAAGACTTTTGATTGTATGGGTCATGACAAGCTAAGGACAACATTGTGAAGTATGAGTATGCTGGAACACTTAATTGTGGTCATGACAGATCTGTACCTGGATCAAGAGGCAGTTGTTCAAACAGAATATGGGAACACTGAATGGTTTATAATTTAAAATGGTGTGCAACAAGGTTGTATTCTTTCACCGTACTTATTCAACCTGTATGCTGAACAAATAATCTGAAAAGCTGGGTTCTATGAAGAAAAATATGGCATCAAGATTGGAGGAAGACTCGTTAACTACCTGCGATAAGCAGATGATATTACCTTGTTTGCTGAAAGTGAAGAAGATTTAAAATATTTACTGTTGAAGATCAAAGAGCACAGCCTTCAGTATGGATTACATCTCAATGTAAATAAAACAGAAATCCTCACTACTGGACCAATAAACAATATTCTTATCGATGGAGAAAAGATTGAAGTTGCCAAAGACTTCATTCTTCTTGGATCATCTATCAACACTCATGGAAGCAGCAGTCAAGAAATCAAATGACGTATTGCATTAAGCAAATCTTCTGCACAAGACCTTTTTAAAGTATTGAAGAGCAAAGATGTCAGCTTGAGGACTAAGGTGCATCTGACCCAGGCCATGGTATTTTCAATAACTTCGT